GTCAATTTGATTTCTGTGTATTCTATTTGGTGACGTCCATATGTAGAGTTGTCTTTTATGTTGTTTAAAAAAGGTATTTGCAATGAAGTTACTGGTCTTGTAAAATCCTATCATGCAATCTCCAGTGTCATTTCTATCACCAGGACCATATTCTCCAACTACTGATCCTGCCTCTGTTTCCAACCTTTGCATTTCAATCATCAGCAATTATCAATACATCTTGATTGCATGTTTGATCAATTTCAGACTGAAGAAGTTGATAGAGTTCTTCAATTTCATCATCACTGGCTTTAGTGATTGGTGCATAAATTTGAATAATAGTGGTATTAACTAGCTTTCCTTGTAGGCATATGGATATTATCCTATCACAGACAACGTTGTAATTCAAGACAGATCTTGATATGTTCTTTTTGATGATGAATGGGATGCCATTCATCTTCAATTTGTCATTCCCAGCAGAGTAAACCATGTGATTGTCAGATTCAAAATGGCCAATACCAGTCCATTTCAGCTCACTAAAACCTAGGATATCTATGTTTATGCATGACATTCAGTTTTTGACAATTTCCAATTTCCTTAGGTTTGTACTTTGCACCTTCTATGTTCCTATTATTAATGGATGTTCACAGTTGTTCATTTTCATTTTGAGATGTGCCCCATTAGCAAATGAATGTCCCAAAGGCTTTACTCCATTCACATCATCACAGTCCTTTGAGGAGGCAGCTCTCCCCCAGTTTTATTCTGAGTGCTTTCCAACTTGAGGGCTCATCTTCCAGCACAATATTCTGGTGCTCTTCATCATGTTTCAGTAGTCAATATTCTGGTGCTATCTGACAGTGTTCCACTTCTATTCATAAAGTTTTCAGTGACTAAATAGTCAAAGTAGTCAGTGTCTTCTTCCTAGTCTCTCTTGGTCTGGAATCTCATCCGAAACCTCTCCACCATGGTTGACTCTGCTGGTATTTAAAATACCAGTGGCACAGCTTCCAGAATCCAGTAACACAAACCACCACAGTACAACAAACTAACAGATGAGTGGTGGGATTTAGTAGCTTAAACAATATAAATGTATTATTTTACAGTTTTAGAGGTCAGAAGTCTCCAAGTCTTCTTCCCGAAGAACAAACAAATCTGTGTTGGAAGATATACAGTCAGAATGTTCCTTAGAAGCGAGGATGGTAAGACTTCATCTCATATACTTTGGGTATGTTATCGTGAGGGTCCAATCCCTAAAGAAAGAAATGGGTCTCTTTGGGCTAAAATCTAGGTGTCAGTAAAGCTGTATTTCTTCCAGGAGTTTTTTTTGGGGGGATTCTATTTCTTTGCATTTTCCAACTTCTAAAAGCTGTCCACATTCTTTGTCTTGTGACTTTCCACCTCCATCTTCAAAGCCAGTAGTGGAAGGTTGATTCCATCTCACAATCCAACCATTTTGATTTCAACTTCTGCCTCCTCTTCCACTCTTTAGGATTCTTGTAATAATACATAGTCCACCAGATAATCCA